CCGGAAAATGCAAATTTTCCGGTAGCGAGCTACAACTCTCTGTTCTGGGTTTACCAGGTTCCCCGTTCGAAATCTCTCATTTATTTTGCTGAAATTATAGTCATATTTAGAAGATATCAAGGCGTAAAGTTGCTGATAATTTTAGAGTACTTTGCCACGGCCATATCTTTTTTAAATGCATTATTACAACCAGAAAAAGAATATGGAACATAGATCTAGTCCAGAAGAGTTACCGTGCCAAAAATGGAGTCGATCGGTTGCGAATTGGCAGAGGGATACGTTGAAAGCATTTGTATGAAAAATAATGACTATAGATCCCTCTTAAATGAAGATATGAATATGAAAAGTGCACATAAAGATTTGACGGCTTCTATAGTTGAAAGGATGAAACGAATCCCCGTAACCAGTAAAGCGGATATTAGCTCATTTCGTTTTATGACCCACCAATCACGAGTGTAATGGTACGTCTCGTAAATACTCACTTAAGATTATACGGCGCTAAATTTCATACTTCATTTGGTGCTACATCTATGCCATGTGCCAAAACTAAAGCTTTTAGTAGCATGCCATCAGGGCCTGATGATTTAGCATACATTGATGGATGTTATATGGCCAACAAACTAATAATAAGCAGAAATGCATACCAATCGGACGGCGCGGCGGAATAAGTTTAATTATCCTTTTTACTTTACCTAAACCATATCAATGGCTTACTAATAGTAATAGATGATTTAAAAACTCTGACACCAGGGTTCATTTAGTCGTTCCATGACTCGTTGTCCCACACGAGAGAAAAAGAACTTTGCCCGAAAACGCGAGCCATCTAACATCATTAGAGCAAGAGGGACAGACTCTTGACCTTCACTTAGAACTCAGGGGCTTGAACTTGGCCTTCAAATTGACCTTAGCATGACCACAGAATTATAATGCATGCATAGTACTAGCGTGCGACGATGCCATGACGTCATTTTGTATATTTGAGGATTTTGAAGATGGAAATGGTTATGGTTTTCCAAATATCATATTCAGTATTTTATAAGTCTGATGTCATTCTTTTTCGCTGTCATGATGTATGAAACTTGATATATTATAGATTATTATATTGTTCAAACATTCTTAAGTTATGTCCTTATTTATTCTTCCCAAAGTTGGCATGAATCATTACAAAATCCGGTTTTTGGCGATGGGATTCCAATACGACTTTAAGATTTGAGAGCAAATACTTATCGACGAAAACTTTTGTAATACGCTCAAGTTTAGGTAGGTATGTTTAAAATAGAATATTCAGCTTGGCTTGTCTTTAAATTGTCTATCTGAAAGTCTATCAACATCTTGATCGAAAGAACATGCATGCATATGCGTTACCAAAACGTTATTGTCTCAAGGCGATCTAGTTCTGTAGATAACCAATCATCGATCGAAATGATAGAGGTACATTGATGGTTTTATCCTAGCATCAAAAAGCACGTTGCATATAAAATACCCTTTGTATCTCGATCAAGTCGCTAAATTTAAAACTCTTAATTTAAAAAAGGTAAACCGACTTCACTGTTGATAAACAGCTTCTACCTTATTGAAAACGAGACAACATTTTTGTTCAATTTCGATAATGAGTAAGGCAATTTATATACTAATGAAATTGAATCAGTTAATCCATCCGCGATAATGGTATTCAATTATTCACGGGTTTTCATCGCTTTTGTTGCCACATCAATCTGTAAAGAATAAACTAGTCGCTGGGAATTAGTTGCAAAACGTAGATTGAGCCGCTGTAGATTAAACAGGCGTCACCAAGTACTAAAGGCGAATGTCGCAAGTCCCTACCTGCAGAGGAAAATTTAAAAGTTTTCTAAATGTTTATCCGTTCTAAGATACACTCTACTCAAAATTTGGACTACAGCAAAGCATTAATGTGCCAACTGCCAAGCCTTTGTATCAATATATTTCGCAATACAGGGAATGTAACATACACAAGGGTCAAACTGATAACCTCCTTACTCCGTGTCGGTTTAAAAGTGCAGTGTCTAGCCTAGCAAACATAGCCCAAAAGGTGCAAACTGCAAGCAGGTGGGTCGCGGCAAAAAACCCATTCGTATGCGCTCGCGCACGCGTCGCCGCACGCGAGAAACAAAAGATGATCGCGCGCGAGATCAACCTGTTGGCATTATCAAGCCTCTCAGATCGAGGCCTGTTTATATGCCAGCTAGTATGTAAACTGAACAACGTTTGTTCTAGCGCTTTGGGGAAATATAAAGATTAGATGATCCGATGGAGTAAATTTTTATGCGAACGCAATGCTTATTTTGGGAATTTGCAGAAGTTGTTGGAAAAAAGTGTTAAGGGTGAAGCCGTGAGAGGTTTTGTACTATTCTTCTAACAACATAGTCTAAGTACTTTGTTTAATATCTGTCTCAATAAAATGTATGCGACTGATACCCATATCAAGGAAAATAACGTTATTTTTACCCGCACGTGCACGCGTACACGTTAATTATTGCTGGAGTAATAAGCAAAGATAAGCAATAATTAAGCTGATTGTTTATGATTATTTAAGTAACTGTAAATCATACCTTTGTGATCTTAACAATAAAATGAGGAGACAACAATTTGCCATTAATTATGATCTTAAGTGCGTCTGATTGATTAACACTTCCCTGTAAAAAAATGTATTTAAGCAATAGGTTAATAATTATAGAAAAGACAAGATTTGAACCTGGTACTTTCGAAATCAGTAAAACCTCGTCGCTGTCGGTTGGCAGAAGATTAAATAAAAAAATAGCGATTTATCTCGATGGTCCCAGATTCGAATAATAAAATACATCTCACACGTTTTACGTTCTTAAATTACTAATATGGTACATACATATATCACGCCTATATCCCTTGTGGGGTAGGCAGAGCGTAAACGGATGTAAAAAACGGCCATTTACACCACGTCTGACAAAAGTTTGAGAGTCATTCAGATGACTGTGTATCACTCATCATTATAGTGACAATTCTCAAATCCCTTAGTCACGTCTTACGACACCCACGGGAAAGATATGGGGTGATGCTATTGAAAGCCTATAATAATATGATAATCTCTTATTTTTCAGATTCTGCAGTAACCACGGGAACAAATGCCCGCGGCCTGGCGTGGCGCCGGCCGATCTGAAATGCGTGGCCGAAGCTATGATGCCCAGACTGATTCTTCGATTGCTGCAACACTTCAGGGAGAACAGGTAATTAAGTAAAAAAAATTGTGTGTAAGGAATCGCCTGGCTTGTGTGCTAGCGGCTAAGAATACTGCCACCCCTAGTCCACTCAGAGTGTTCGTAAAAGGTGGCGTAGAAATTTTGACCTCGCATCAATATCTACCGACTACGGTCAACCGCACCTACAATAGCATTCCCAAAGAGGGTTGACGTCAGGCTTGCGGCCGATCATAAAACATTGCCAAATCCTTCTGCTACATGATATTGTGCTCTAACAAAACATGTTTCGACGACCCTAACTGATTTGGGATAAGGGCAGGCGGATGATATGAATTGCCTAACTTACGAGTTCTTTCCCAATAGTCTGGCGATATATAGCTTGCTATGTTCCGTCGTTGCTTAGGAATGTCTATGCCCTCTTAAGCTACTAGATGACTTGATGAGTTCGGTCCATCTACCAACACTCTTCGGTTTACCAACACTCTTCAACTCCTTGGCATGGAGCTGTCCTCTGACCTCAACTTCGGCACCACCATCGAGTCCAAGGCTCAAATTGCAGCTAGAAAGTTGGGCGTCCTGAATAAAGTCAAGCGGTACTTCACGCCTGAACAGCTTCTAACTCTTTATAAAGCTCAAGTCCGATCTTGCATGGAGTACTGCTGTCACCTTTGGGATGGCTCGGCTAAATACCAACTTGCTGCACTGGATTCCGTGGAACGCAGAGCCAAGAGATTAATAGGCGATAAAAAACTGGTGGCGACCAAGCTTCACAGCCTGGCTCACCGCCGCAAGGTTGCTTGCCTATCGGTCTTCTACAGATTGTACTTCGGAGAGTGTGCGCGTGAGCTGCATGAGCTCATACCACCGTCTCCTTTCTTCCATCGGACATCCAGACGCACGGCCGGCTACCATCCGTTCTTAGTTGATATACCCACATTACGCACTAAGCGCTTCAAATCATCTTTCATTATGCGCACGGCTAAAGAATGGAATTCCCTGCCTGCGTCTGTATTTCCGAGTGCATATAACCTGAATCTCTTTAAGTCTAGAGTGAATAGGCATCTTCTGGGCAAGCTCGCTCCACCGTAGATCCCATCTCTGCTCTAGGGTAAGATTGGGGTCAAGAGTAAGCCCATCATAGATTAAAAAAAAAAAAAAAAACTTTGGACTTCTTTTCAACCTTTTCTGTAGTTAAAAGCAAAGCAGTATTGGTTAAGGTTTAAATAAAAATGGTTAACATAGCTACCAAACAAATTGATCCATGTGGTTCTTTTGCAACAATCTGCATTTACTGCATTTCTACAATTAATCAGAACCTACGTCAACCTTTACTTGTGTAACTAAGTTAAAGGCAATAACATAAACACTAAGTGGGAAGACCTATAAGCTAGCTTAAGGTTTCCCGCCCAAGGGTGTTAAGTTATCTCTTTCGTACGGTTTTAAATAAACGTAGAAAATAAATAGAAGTTTATTTATATTCTACTCTCTGTGATGCAACAAAATGGTTTGCATTTTTAAGGTTGCTACAAACGAATTTCATTTTTGGCCAACGTAAAGTCCTCTCCATTATGAAATATAGAAGTCCAGTCGCCTGGTTTTTAGGGTTGCGCCACGATAATATATTTTAATAAATGAAAAAAATAAAAGCAAACATGATCCAAGTTCTTATCCGTTCTGACTTCTGACGTTGCCAGAGTAAAATCTATCAAAATTAATTTTCGCAGCGTCAGACATATGTAGAAGGTTGTTTCAGTTTTACTGTGATAAAACTAATTAATTATTTTTTGGAAAACTTGCAAAATTTACTACCGCAAGCTGGATTTGAACCAGCGACCTTCACCATCCGTACTGGTTACGCCTCTCTCATCTGGGCTACAGCGGCTACTCCAAGCCTGCGAATTTTACAAGTGTATCTTGACCACATACGCGTGGAAAATTTTGCATGTTTTCCAAAAATGTTGCATACCTAACACGAGAAGGTTTTTAATTATTTCCTTTCTGTTTCAGTTACGGGCCACAAGCCAACTCTGACACGTACAGAATAGCTGTTCAAGAATGTGAGGGCTACGTTCAGATGTTGATGGAATTCAACAACATGGGGGACCTCATGAGGTCCGCCATGACCAAGGCTCTCATCAATCCACAGGTAAAATAAAATAGCAATTAGTTTATAATTAAAGTAAACGATATCGTTACGGTAGTGGGAAATTACTGGATTGGGGCTAAATACCGTAGAAACTGGGGTGAGAAAGACACTGATTGGGAGGTGAGAAAGAGACTGGGGTGAGACAGAAGCGGGCTATACCCAGCTGTGGGCTGGCCCTGATAGATACGGGGATGCACTCACATTTCCACTTTTGGTGCAAATGTGGAGTTGGACCGCAAATTGTCTGCGACGCAAAAGGTTCCGGGTTCGATTATCGGTGGGCTATACGTAAAGTAGATATTTATCACTTTGTGAATTTGTTTCTAGTCTGGTTAGGACATTGTAAGTCACGATGCGGTGGGGATGACTGAATTTAGGAATGAGCATGCTACGTACAGGAGATCTATGTCCCAAACTTTAATACTGTTCTTCTTCTCGCTAGACCATTTCCCATTTACTTGGGGTCGGCCTTCCTTGTTCGGAGTCTCCACTTGGCACGGTCTTGTGTTGTGCTGGCGTCTAGGTTAGCTTCTTTCAAGTCTTTTTCGACTGTCGTCAGCCAGGTGGAAGGTGGTCTTCCACGTCCTCGTTTCGTCGTTGGCAAGTTTAGGGCAAGCTTGACCATGTGGTCCTCAGGGCGTCTTTGAACGTGTCCATACCATCTGAGGCGCTTTTCTTTAAGTTTTTCAGTGACGGGGGCAATTTTTAGGCTTCCTCTAACGTATTCATTGCGGACCTTATCTAACAGAGTGACTCCCGCTGACCAGCGGAGCATACGCATCTCCGTTGTATGCAATTTGTTGAGATGCTGTTTATTAGTCGCCCAGCATTCTGAGCCATACAAGATTGCAGGTCTTATAGCAGTTTTGTACATTTTGCCTTTGATTTTAAGTGGCATTTTTCTGTCGCACATAACGCCTGTGAGTTGTCGCCATTTTAGCCAGCCTGTTGTAGTTCTGTGAGTGACATCGCTATCAATTTTGCCATCATTGCTAATAAGTGAGCCTAGGTACTTAAACTGTGACACCGTAGGTAATTGTGCCGTTCCAATTGAGATCTTTATACTATTTGGATCTGTTATGCCATCAAACACACAAGACATTTGCTCTGTCTTCTTCCTACTTATTTTCAGACCATTCCCTTCAAGAGCTTCTACCCATGAGTTGAAGTTTTGTTGTAGATCTTCGAAATCATCCGAGGCTAGAACGACGTCGTCCGCGTACAGGATGTTCCACGGCAGTGTTTTTTGGCAATGTCTTGTCAGATAATCCATCGTGGTGTTAAATAACAATGGGCTGAGAGTAGATCCCTGGTGCACTCCTATCTGTAGGTCAAACCTTTCACTCTCACCAGCCGGGCTTACTACTTGGGTGGTTATCGATGTATACATGTCTTGAATAAGTTTCACATAGTATTCTGGCACTAGTTGCTGTCTTAGAGCCTCCCAGATCAGATCTCGAGGGACATGGTCGAAGGCTTTCTCAAGATCGATAAAAATCATATGTAGATTCTTATGATTTGTTCTTGCTTTCTCCAGCATTATTCGAACTGTCTGAATTGCATCTGAGGTGCCTTTTTGTGCAACAAAGCCGCACTGATTTCGTGTGAGCGATATTATGTGGTTAAGTCTATTGTTTAAAATACGTTCCCAGATTTTCATAGAGTGAGACATCAGTTTAATGGCTCTATAGTTGCTGCATTCTCTTATATCCCCCTTCCCTTTATAGAAAGGTATTAGGAAGCTGTTCCGCCATGAGTTCGGTATAGCATGACCTTGTAGCAGTTTGTTAAATAGGTTGTATAGCCATAACAGTCCTTGGTCTCCCAAATACTTCCAGACTTCGGCTGGTATTTCGTCTGGGCCAGGTGATTTGTTGTTTTTCATTTGTTGTATAGCTCGTTTAACTTCATGGGGTTCTATAGCAGGAATTGGGCCTTGTACAGATTCAGGCCTACAATAATCCTGGTTTCTGGGGTGAGATATGTTAAGGAGTTCTTTATAGTATTCCGTCCATCTGTGCCTGATGTCATCATCTTGAGTAAGAAGTTTATTTGATTTGCTATTTATATACTTTACAGTTGTAACATCTTTCGTGTTATTGTGACGCGTTTTCGCTATTCTATGAATGTCTATTTCTGTTTCGGCAAACTCCAGTTTTTCGTAAAAATCATTATTGGTTTCAGCAATTGATATCGCAACTTGTCGCTTTGCTTGTTTCTTCTTTTCTTTGTAGGTAGTAAGATCATCATTATCGTTTGTGGATTGCCATTCTTTAAAAGCCTCCTTCTTGGCTGACACTGCTTCTTTGACACTAGAATTCCACCACTGAGTTTCTTTATTAGGGCCTTTTTTGCTTCGTGTCCGTCCAAGATGTTTATCCGCTAGGGTTATACATGCACTCTCGAAGTCATCCCACATTTCATTTGGAGTAAGATCGGAGGTGTTTGTAGAATTTAGGTGCTCTTTAAGGGCCTCAATGAAAAGATCGCCTGTTGGTTTCTTCAAGGATCTCCATTTGATCTTAGGTGTTAATTTCCTGTTTATCTTCATTGGTTTTGGAAGCTTGTATACAGACACCAGTATTCGATGCTGAGTTGTAAGGGGCTCTCCGGGTATAACCTTACTATCCTTATAGTTACCCAGGTGCTTACGTCTAGCTACTATATAGTCAATTTGCGTACCGTGTCCGCCACTTTTATATGTGATAAGGTGAGTTTCACGTTTTTAAAGAATGTATTTATTATAGCTAGATCACACGCGGTTGCGAACTGAATGATAGTCTCTCCATCTTTATTTCGTGAGCCATATCCAAAGCCGCCGTGCCATCTTTCGGCATTTATGTTGCTTTCACCAACATGACCGTTTAAGTCTCCACCTAAGTGTAACGGTTCTTCTGGCGGTATGTTTTCTACTAAATTCTGTAGGTCTTCCCAGAATGCTTCCTTTTCGCTATCGGAAGTACCTGCCTGTGGTGTGTAAGCTGATATTATGTTAAAACAGTGTTGTTTTTCTAACGCAATTTTTACTGCCATAAGTCGGTCGCTCACTCTCTCAACATTGACGAGTCTCTTTGTTAGTTCCTCTGATAGTACGATACCCACGCCATTTCTACCCGCAGATGTTCCATTATAAATTAGCTTAAACCCGTTGCCTATAAGTTTTGATTTTGCCCCTTTCCACTTGGTCTCTTGCACACAGCATGCATCTATTTTCCTTCTCTTAAGGACGTCGCTAAGCTCGGCACCTCTGCCTGTCATGGAACCAATGTTCCAGGTAGCTAATCGTAGTGATGCGCATGTATTGCTTCGACCGTCGCTTACGGGGGACGCCCTAATATTTTTGCCTCGACCGTCGCTTGAGGGGGACGCCCTAGTGTTTATCGTATCTCTCTTTTTGTGTGTACTCATATTGAACAAGGAATGTTTAGTGGCTATGTGGTTTTACGGCCGGTTGCCACCTGACGCCAAGACCGTAGCAGGAGCCGCCGTTGACTTCATACTCCTCCCTCTGAAGTTCGTCCGCCGCCGTCCCTACTGCGTACTCCGGCCTAAGCACGCAGCACACCAGTGGCCCCTACTCCGAGTACGTCAGAGAGGCCCAACTGGCGGGGGTTTGTTAACGGAGTAGTTCCATTCTCCGGCCTTGTGGTCCGCGGGAGGTATTTTATTTCCCTCCTACCCGGCAATCTACCGAGCGTTCCCCTATCCGCCACCCGGGGACGCGGTCTCTAGGGAATGAGGCTACCCCGAGACAATAACTTTAATACTGTTACCGGTTGTTATTTTCTTATCTTCCGGTGTTTCTTTGGTGCGTACAGAATATACTATCATATTTTTTCCATCAATTTCAGATGTACCGCAACCTTGTGGAGCCCCCGTTTCCTGAAACAGAATACGGGTGCTACATGGCGGAGTCAAACAAAATGTATGAGAAAGCGATCGAGTCTTTCCCTGCCCCAGAACCGCCCGATGAGTAAGTTTTATTATTTAGAATAGTGCGAAAATTACATAACTGAATCTTGGTTTATCTATGACTTTTTAAACATTGAATGAATTTGGTAGGGGGGTATTTGCCATACTTACCACGCTTGGCAGGCGGGTTGGTGAGCGCAATGCAAGATGTTGCAATGCGATTGCGAAATTTATCCAGGGAATAAACCCCAGGATGAATTTATCCCTTAGTCGCCTCTTACGACACCCACGGGAAAGATACCTATGGGGTGATGACATTCTAAGCCGGCATCTACTACGACAAGCCACTTGTACCTATTACAAGGTAATCCTGATTCACTTAGTCAGCATTTATGCTAAAACTATGATTGCCGAAATACCGATGGCGAAAGGCCCAGGTTGTTTCACCTTTATTTCGAATCATCAAGTATGGAAGTTTCCATACGACAATCTTTCAGGATAGGTATAGTTCAGATGGATTTTCATTCATAGTAACTAAGAATTAATATTCATTTTGTCTTGTTTTACAGATACAAGCACCTCCCTGCGCTGGCTCCAAGACTTCAACACAATACTTTGCTCGAAGAATTCATCTTCTGGACATTCAAATATGAGTTCCCACAGAACGTGGTCTGCTTTTTGCTCAATATGCTGCCTGATCAGGACTACAAGGTACTTAACTAGCTTATATTTTGGTCTACTAGATCTGACCTTCTGTTGTATCCATCATTTGAAGAATAATAAATAACAGATGGATGTCAATCAGAGCTATTTATTTTAGGATT